CACGACCCGTCGCTTCGCGATACCCTCGAGTCCTCAGCGAAATGATTTGCCAGATTAAAGCATCGCTATCTCGAAATTATCGCTATCTCGAAGTTGACCGCGACTCGAGACACACTGTTTGACGTGTAAACGATCGTTTACTCGCGGTCGAGCTTATGCCGAGGAAGCTTAATCCGCGTCTCGCGCGCATCATCCTGCGTCGTTTTGATAGTCGTCGCTAATGCGAAATTCGCCGCGATATACATATTTACCGAGCCTCTTCGATAGCAGAAACAGATAGATAGATAGATAGAAGAGCGAGTATCACGCCTCGTCGTTATCACGTCCGTATGTGAGAAACGGCACGATATCGTGTGTGATGCCTTATGTACAAATTCGCGTAGAATCTTGAAGTGATAAGACGATCGATGTGCGTGTGCGTGCGTGCGTGTATGTGTGTACGGGCGAATGTTGCATCCGTGTGCTATATGCGAGTATGTGTATTTATATATACGTATTCTACACACACGCGGTAGTCTATGTATGTGCTTGTGTATACGTGTAAAAAAAAAAAAAGAAAAGAAAAATGAAGGAAAGAAGATACGCATCTGAGATAGCCATGTGTAGCTAGTGTGTAATATTATCTGTATATTACCGCGGAGCGATGGGCCGGGAATAATTCGTTCTCACGCGTGCTCCGATCGGCCCGAGCCGATCCATCCATCGCTCGTCATTCATCGTGCTTTGCGCGAAAGGCGTAAACACTTTCGCGCGAAAAGCAAGGGCTTGTAACGGACGAACTCGTAGCGATAGCCAGGGACGTAGAATCTACGTAAGGGAGTAAGATTTTGAGAGCGTTAAATCACTGAAAGTCTCTCGAGATAATTCTCAAAAAAAATATCTCTTTTTTTCTTTGTTACCTTTCTTTCTTATATATTCTTTCAACACCCGTTACTGGGTTAAGAATTCAAAGATTATTCCAAAATTTTTATATAGCGAAGGGAATCTTGTTCTTAAACAACTTCTTTTATGCCAATTTTTTTAATATATTCTTTTTTAAAAAGAAAATATCTTTTAAACATACTATCTGCGATGAATATATTTCAAAGTCTAATTATTGACTCGTCTGTATATATCTTATACTGGTCTGTGTATATTTTCGTTTAGATTTCTCTATAAAGAACAAACCGATATCTATTTCGTTCTTTTTCCTTTTAATATCTTGTTAGAAACTTGGACTATTAATTTCAAGTCTCAAGAAAGTTACCATCCGTCCCTGGCGCTCCGAAGACATCGCATTAGATAGAAGGAGATAGAAGAAGAGAGAGATAGAGAGAGAAAGGCGTCGGCGAAAAGCGATTTCGCGTATCCCGGACGTTCCGTTACGTTCCGATACGAGCATGTCTCACCTCGGGAGCGCGCGCAGGAGGCCAAAAATTCTGTCTATAGTCAACGCTTTGTATACAACGCGCGAATCGTTGTAATAATGATCGATCGATCGGATCGTTATGTAGTTACGTAGTCGAGCGTTAGACGGAAAAAGCGAAGTATATATATATATATATAACGTGTCTATTTATATCTCTGTCTATCCGCCTACCTATCTTGTCACCGCATCTTTCCGAATCGATTCTTTCGAGTCGTCGCCGTCGTCGTTTAATCCTTCACTCGTGTCCCAGTCGCGACACGTGTTTATCTGTTTTCTTTTTTTTTTTTTTTTTTTTTTCGCCGCCCGATTTACCTCGTCTCCTTTCCGTCTTCCGTTCTTCCTTTTCTCGTCTCCCTCTCCTCCCCCTTTATCCTCTCTTCGTTGATAGTGGTTTATCCGCTCCTAGCTTGTCCTCCACCCACTGTCGAGAGGGATCGACTTTTTACGATTACTCTTATCTTATATATATATAAATGCGAAATATACCTCATTTTTGCAAATATGCAGTAATAGAGTCGACGAGCGCCGCTTTAAAGCGCATATCAAATTTGTACGCACCTCTTACTCTCGACTTCTTGCGGTCTGTCCATAATGTTTACGCTGTAATTTGTGTGTTGTGTAATTTAAATATACAATGATATATCTCTCTATAATGATACGTATCATTCCGCATTGTTTTCGCTCGTTCCAAATACTCACGAATAGCGCACTTTTTAGAAAAGTAAAAATTAAAAGAAAAATATGCACTAGATACACACCAAATATAGATTCAAAAAACTAAACTCGATTTTGTGGCGTTCCTGTGGCAACAGTAATAAAATAGTATGAAATATTGCCACAGGAACGCCACAATTTCAGGGGTAGTGGTGCCATCTGTGGTTCTCATCGCACTTTAAGATAAATTTATTCTTCTTCAGAGGGCAGCACTTTACAAGTTATCTTTCCGCCGTATTTTTATGAGGACTCTAATATTTCGATAGCCAGTAACTTTCCTCGCACGATAATGGAATGCTTCGATTACCGATAAAACAGATATATTCACTATATTTTACCGTGCTCGATTTTGTGTGTGTGTGAGAGAGAGAGAGAGAGAGAACTAATTTCTTTGAATAAATATTTTTTTCCAAGTGTTCTCTAAAAATTTTCAGAGGTTGACATACTTTGTGAAGAAGCGGTACTAACGTAAGATATAATCTCCGAGCGGATGAAAAGAATCGAGATAGTTGACGAGAATTAAGTTCTATTCGTCTTACGAAACAAGTTAGATTAGTTTGTGTTCACGAGTCGAACACGTTTTGGAGGCTCATGCGTTTTTAACTTATAAGCATTAATGTTAATCATTTTCTCTTTGAGTAAGCAATTATTGATCATGTGAGCATCTAAAGCGAATTTATTCTATATTTATCAAATGTTGAATGTTTCAGAGATGTCTCTAAGAGACCAGGAAAGGGAGACGCAACAAGGAATCTTCCAATTTTATGACAGATGATGAAAACGTAATGTGAAAAAGTAACATGAAAAGGTATTTCTATTATAAAAAAAATGTGCATTTTGTACATATATAAAATTTGTAAAAGAAGATTAAAAAGAGAGAAAAACATATATATACAGCGAGCTGTATATTACATTTATGTCTGCTGAGTGTCAGAGAAACAAAATGTACAGCTTATCGAGTATTATTTCTGAACCAAAAATTATTTCTATCACAGGTAGTTTACAACTGCTTGAATTTAGATTAATGCCTCTTTGTCTTAATATAACTTTAATCAAATACATTCACTTTTTTGTATATTATAAATATCTGTTTATAAAGATAAAAAATTGACAATATTACAAAATCTAAAAATATTAAGTATGATAAAGCTTTCTACAAAGTTACCGTATTTTAAAAAAGAAATTGGGAGTGAAATACAGACAGATAAAACAACCAAATTAAGATTCTAGCGGAATTTCTTTCTCCATGCGTGTTAACACAATATTACGGTTTGTCTCATTAGGCAAACCTGATTTGTCCCCTGTCTTTAGCATTGATCTCGTGTCTAAACACATAACATCAGTGTTTAGAGAGTGCTGTTTATCATCCAGATTCTTGTCGATACGTATGAGCAAAGATTCCAAACTATTGTAGCTCGCTCTGAAAGATAAATTTAATATCACGCTTAAGAAAATGAATGCTGAATGATCAGTAATGATTAACCATGATATCAGACACAAATACATACTTTGCATGTTCGATAGTCTGAATCAAATCCTTCTTAGTCTGTTTTAATTGCAGAACTTCGTTCTTCAATCCTAATTCAACTTCATCCGTACAAAGTTCCGAGCCAAGCCGATACGCGCGATTTTCTAATCGTGTTTCGACGCATTTTACCACCTTTGTTTTATTCATCAATGTTCTTTCCAACTCGATTATTTCTTTTCCTAACATTTCCATTTCCTTCTGTACCTATTTAGATTAAAAAATTCAGATGAGAGAAAATATCCTCTTTTCAATATTTCTTCTATGTGATTATTACTCATTCTTCTAATTTTTTATTCTGTTTAAATTAAAAATTAATAACCTCATTAGCGTAAAATTATAAAATTAGCTATTATTCTATCCATTTATATTAAAATCTTCCAAAATCGAGGTAAAAAGATACGATTGACCATAGACACCTTGAGCTTCTGCCATTCCATTTCATTCCTGGCTTTTTGTGTTTGATAAATCCTCTTTCTCAAAGTATAATCCGTCGCATCTTGTTGAGCTTTGATATCATTTCGCGCACATTCCTTCATTACGCGCATAGCTTCGCGAAAAGTGTAACCGTCACTCAGTTCCTTGTCGGCTAACATTTTTAAACGTTGACATCGGTCCAACCAAGTTTCGTACGTAATAGAACTATAAATATATGATACTAGATTACTAATTAGCTGCAATAATGATCATATAATAAATAAAAGAGCAATACTTTACTCCGTTTTTTCGGTAATTGACGTTCTCGGCTTGTAGCTTATGTTTGCACAAGTCTCATTCAATTCGAGGTTTTCCTTATCTATTCTAATAGTTTCATTTTTATCCTCTATATCTAAGCTCAGCTTAAATTTCACGTCCTCCAAGTGATTTAACTTTTCCCACGCGGCCTGTGCTCTGCAATACATAAACGAGAATATAAGAAATATTTTTTATCATCATCAGTATGATAATCACCTGTTGGTGAACGTTTCTTTAACATTGGCGATCGCGCAGAGCTCCTTCTTCAGCTCGACATCAGTCTCGTCATACGTGAGCTCGGTTCCTCTACGGCAGTCCCTTATCGAAATACACTCGCTGACAATTCGCAGGGGATGGTCTATGCTTTCAATTTCCTTCTCCGTATCGGCCTTCTCATCGCTTAGCATGCGTGTTTCGATTAATAACTTTTGTAACAAGTCCGCCAGCGTGTCTTTCCATCTCGATAATTCTGTCATTCTGCCAAAATAAAATATTACGTCGGAAAATTATGTTTCTTCTCATAAATATCGATTGAAATCGATTGTGATTTGAACATATTTTTTAGAACTAGAATTAATTGTGTATGCAGAATAAAAAACCGATAAAAATTCGGTTATTTTTTTATAGTGTTTACGCTAATGATGTTAAATAATTTGCATCACACCTGTCCATCAATCGAGTATTATTTATTAAAGTGTCCCATTTCGTTGTCACGTTCCCCTCGGAACGCACACTTTTGCCTGAATTCCGTAGTTGACAGGCCTCGACTCGTCTAATGTCCGCGCTTCGTCGCAGCTCCCATTGCTTGGCGTACCAATCCGGCAGGCCGATATGAGGTAGAGGCTTCTCATAAGTACTCACGAATTTGGCCATGCCGATTCGTTTGGCAAAAGAAAAATGAAAATGAAGCTGATAAAAAGCAAGAGAAGAAGTGTTCCACAAGTACGCTGATAAGAAGCGTTTCGATCGCAGCCGCAACGTTGTCAGGACAACGAAGCAAGACAAAGCAAGCGAAATTGGTGTGTATGTGATTATTCCATGCTATATCTTCTTGATTTTTCGAAACGAACGGCGAACTGGATCTTGGGAGTATTAACATCATGCCTTCATTCAATTTGATATTTAAATCTGAAAATTTTAATATTTTTAATGTCATTAATTGTATCGATTAAAAAATTTAGACTTTGATGACGTTGACAAAAAATTAAATTATATTAATTTTTTTTTAACTTTAAAATTTATCTTTCCGAATTCTTAAAAAAAAAAAAAAAAAAAAAAAAAAAGAAAAAATAAGTCAGATTTTTGTTATCAGTATCCTTCAATTGAATTAAATCGATATCCGGAAGGGGAGCATATTAGGCGCTCTTTTGAATCCATAAATCAATAAAAAAATCCCCATCCTTTAAATTATTTCCAGATTTGACAGATATGCTGTACGTCATCTATGAGTCGAGTGAGGAAGAAGAAAAGAAGATAGTTATTAGATACTTGTGATCGTGTTATCCTAGCTGCGCAAAAATTCGCACGACAAATTTTGGATGGAAGTTTGTGAAATATTATCGATCGCCTAATATATCGATGTCGTATTCAAACTACTCCATTGTTTCCGGTAATATTCATAGTCAATATGGCCGCTTCGTGCAGAGGCTAGTAACGGTAGGAGACGTCGTTAGAGGTACAGTAGAAATTTAGTCTCAGGCATCGGTTGCATTTTTCAGTAATTTCCATTCCGCGTCCTGCAAAAATTGTCAGCAGCTCTCGTTTATTTCATCGATTTATCGAAATGATTGTTCAATCCTTTCGTGAGTATATGTGAGAAAATACGTCGCAAAATAAATGTGCTCGTTTCACCTACACTCGTACACGCGTTTTTACACTCTTGCACTTCTTGCGTTTAAAACGACGTGAGTATATATTCAGGCTTTGGGTGGAAAAAAGAGAAAACAGATAAAGTGCAGAGGGTATAGCTAAAATTACACGGAATTTATCTAAATATAAGGAATGAGAGAAAGTCAATCGATAATCAGATCGAACAACAGCAGTTGCTGACAATTTAGGCTATGTGAGAGAAAAATGTGATAAATAATTACTGTTCAAAATAGAACCGAGAAGTATCGAAATGTTGAAATTAAAACAAGTGCACAGCGTTCGGCACTTTATCGAATATTATTAAATATTTGATATTGTTATTAATATCGTTCAGTTATTGATTAGTATAAATTTAATATATATTTCGCGAAGAAATGCATCTCTTAGGCCCAGTTCCACAACTTACTTTAACCGAAGTTTAACTCGTTAATGGAAAATTCACATTACGTTTGATGTCCGATGTATCCAATCGGGTAAGTTGTGGAATCGGGCCTTGGTGAAATTGGCCCTAAGAAGAAGTTTACTTTGAAGAAAACACGTAAATTTAAATAGATCAAAAGAAACTTATTTTTTATAAAATTAGATACCTAACTTTTCATATAACAGATCAATTCTGAATTTTTATAAAAAATTCGAGCCTTTTGAATTAAACTTCTGTACAAATGTATACAAGATATAAATGCAACACTGCTAAAAAAAAATGTTAAATAATTAATAATATCGGCAAGTAATATCAACATTGTATTTTCATAGAGTATCGACCCCATAATTAAACCGGATTAATCGGCGAAATTGCACTGGATCGACATTGAAAAGATCGCCATTGCCAGAATTTATTATTACATATGGTATAGTGCATGTTCACGCATGCGCGTGAAAGAGAGGATAACTCTCCTACCCGCGCAAGGTTTGTCCCTCCGCGTCTCTGACAACGCTATATTCTCCCATACTCTCCACCAATACACTGGAGTGTACGTGTCTGGCGTGTACCGAAAGCGCGTCTCGCGGCGAGTTATAAAAGCAAGAGTGTGCACAAGAGCGTAATCTCGTCTGAGCGTAAACTCTGTTGAAACGGTTAAGAACGCGGCGGGAAGAGAAAAAAAAAAACATCGTCGGAGACTGCGAGGAAGAAAGACAGAGAAAGAGTGAGAGAGAGAGAGAGAAAGGAGGGAAAGACGCGGAGAAAGAACCGCGTCCCGGGGCTTACCGTGTTCTCATAGTGTTCGCGAATCGTTAAGGAGGAGGCCTTCACGCGGAAGGATCGCCGCATCAAAAATACTACGGAGATATCATGCGTCGGCTTAGCATGAAAAACAAGCGTAGAAAGTCCGAGACTACGAGCAACAGCGAGTCGGAGGAAAATGGCGGCACGCGCGCAGCCACCGAGAACGCTGGTAATGGCGAGACGCAGGCCGGCAGGAACAACAACTTGTCCGCCATGAATAGAGGCGCCTCGAAGAGACGCTCGCTACGCGGCGCACAGATGCAAAAGTCGACGGCGCACGCGGACGACAGCGTCGCGACGGACGGTTCCGAGGCGGAGAAGGAGCGGGAAAACGGCGAGAAGTCCGCTGCCGGTCAAAAGTCCTCGCCTAACAAACGCAGACGGACAGAGAATCAAAAAGCGTCCACGTCGGCCCGCGAGGTGGACAAGTCCGGCGCCGACATCGAATACGAGGTGAGCTCTCCTGCATGTCGAGCTTTCGCGCCCACCGATCGACGCCGGTTACGTTAAGGTGGGTACACACTTAGCGAACGAACAGCGAATGCGAAACTTCTTGAACGTTTTTCTCGCACGAATTGTCTTTGATGTACCACTTCATGAGGGAACCGAGCCGAATGCGAATCGAACGTTCTGTTCGCATTCGCTTTGGCGTATATATCTGCCGAATGATAACAATGAACGTTTGCATTCGCTGTTTGTTCGGTGTTCGTTCGCCAAGTGTATACCCACCTTTACACATTAGCGACGAATGAACAACGACCGGCTTTACAATAAACAAGATCGTTAAATAATTCAATTTATTCGTTATGTATTTTGTTATGTAACCGGTATCTAGGTGTTGTTTAACGTTTACGAAGTCTACTTGAAAATTATTGAGGTCTATACACACCATATACATATAATATCGCGTCAAAATGTAACGTTAAACATTTTTACGAGTCTTAAATAGTGCAATGTACACTCAACCGGTCGTCGCTGATATTTAAGGTCCATATAAGAACATTTTAACGTTACATTGACGTAACCGGTGACACGTTGCAGTGCGCGTAAAGTGTGCAACACGCTTTATCGAGTGACTCCAATCTCGGCGAGTACCCGCGTATTTTGTCTATTGACTTGAAAATATCTAGTCGTTATTAGCTATTGATTTAGGGCCAATTTCACCAAGCTCGGTTAGATTAACCGACGGTTAAAATTAGCAGGGTTTCAACTGAAATGATAAGAATGCTTGGTTTTCCTTCACCTCTAGCCCTTAGGGGAGATGTGGAGGGATAATACCTGATATAAGATGAATTGGCAAACACTGATTTCGGTTAGGCTTTATAACATATGATTAATACGTTGCATTTACATATATGGATTATAAGTCTATGGTTATGCTCTTTCTCCCACTCTTTTTTTTCTACGCAGTAAACATCATGGCGCGAAAAAAACGCACGCTATACGTGCCGTTAAGCGGTGTCTACAATAGGTGTAGTAAGCCTTAAGCCGTAAGGAATTGATCAATCACAGTTGAATGTGAGAAGAATAATCGAATATGATTGGTTAATTTCTTACGGCTTATGGTTTAAATTCTTATTTGTTGAATACAGTGCTATTTAATGGTCGCGTTCAGCAGAGAAAACCGCTTAGTAGCAATCGAATGTGATTGGTTCTTACTTTTAGAACCAACGAATCAACGTCGAGTGTTGACAAGACTATAACTAAGCGCTTTCTCTGCTGAACGCGGCCATTGTAGACACTGCTTTAGCGCTGTGACACACAAAAAAACTTAAGCAATAAAACTTAAGACTTATGAATTTCATCCATACGGAATTTTCAGCATTGCTTACGTTTTAATCTGATTGCTTTACTGTTCGATTGTGATTGGTCAATTCGCTTACGTCTTAAGTTTTACTGCTTAAGTTTTTTTGTGTGCCACGACCCTTAGTAACAGCCGCGCTTTGTAATTATATAGGGTGTCCTAAAATTCGTAGATCATAATATGGCAAAAAAGTTATCGGAAAAAACAAGGTAATAACTCTGCCCGACTCTTCATTTCCAAAAAGTAATTTTTCGAATGTAAATAAACTATAAAACTTGATCCCTTTCTTCTATTACTTCACATTTACCATTTAATCATATATGCATGAAATAAAACTGTCTACATATTAAGATTGTATTATATTGTGCTTTCTATACATACAGGGCGCTTAAAATATTAATCAAGATAGTCCAAGCATGAATCGTTATTATCTCTCTCAATATAGATTGATAGGAAATTTTTGTTTACATCTGTAATTATATATTTACTTAACTATTGGTGTGTCGATATTATGTTTCACCGCCGCTGAAAGCCGAAAGAAGCAGGAGATTAGATAGCGTTTTGTTTTAGACGCACATATACACTCTGTCTTTTACTCGTTTTCTCACTCTATGGACAATCATGAGTTACAATTTATTAAAATATAATTAATCATGAATAGAGGAATTCTGTTCGAAATGTATTATGATGTACTCAAGCGAGTTATTACTGTTAATTTGCATTTAATTTGTTATATTGTTTTCTCATTTGTTGGCATTATATACATCAATTATATGATAATGTACATAAAATTTTATTACTTAATATATAGAATGAAAGATTATGAATAAAAATAAGATTATATGAACATGATTATATATGCAACACTTTTATTCACATATTAAAATAAAACTAGAAAGTAAAGAAAAAATTAAAAATAAAAAGATTTTGATTATATTTCAAAAAAATACTTGAAATAAATAGTTGCAGACTTTATCATTTATTTTTCTGTAAATTTTCCTGTTATATTTGGATTTGAGAATTTTGGGAAAGACACTCTTTATATTCAAAATGGTTTACTATAAATAATTAATAATCAACAATGTTTTGCAAATAACTGCAGACGCTGTAAATATATGCTTCTTTTATCTTTATTTAAAAAATCTGGAAAATCTGAAGCTAATACAAATATTTTTTCTTTCAGGTAGAAAAACTTCTCGAAGTTCGTGCTAGTAAAGGAAACCGACAGTTTTTGGTACGATGGAAGGGTTATGGAGAATCTGCTGATACTTGGGAAAACGAGAAGGATCTGAATTGCCCTCAATTAATAGAAAAGTTTTTAGCTAAGGAAGAGGAACAGGAGACAAAATCGCCAAAAACTGGATCGACGAAAACAGACAAATCGAAAAAGTCGAAAGGTTCTCCGAAAAAACAAAATGAAAATGGTATATCGCTCTTGTCGTTAATCGTTTCATCTTAAAATATTCATTGTAAAAATAATTCTATTTATATGTATATATAAATCATTTTCTAGACGAACAAAACAATAAAGATGATAAAGAAACTTTGAAGGAATTTGAGGTAGAAAAAATAATCGAGGTACGTTTTAAAAAGAATGGCATGAAAGAATTTTTAATCAGATGGAAAGGATTCAATCCGGCTGACGATACATGGGAGCCCGAGAAGAATCTGAATTGTTCGGAACTTATCGCTAAATTTATGCAGAAGGTGGAAAAAGCGAAGACTCAGGAAATGCGCGAACTCAGGGCAAATCGGGTGCATACCAAACGATACACATTGTCGACATGCGACCACGGGAGGAGATTGTCAAAACGTAATAAAGATAAGCAAAGGTACTTATATTCTGTGCTCATTATATATAAGAAACTACTTTAAATCAATTGTCATGGCTACAATAAATTAGTTTCTTTAATTGCATTGTATTAGAAATAAAGATCTATATTTTTTTTTTGCAGGACAACTTATCACGAATGCGATGAATAAAAAACGTCGTGGTCCCAGTATCTGTATTTTATTCAAAGAATTTACTTTATTACTCATATAGTCTGTAGTTTTACAAGAGAGAGAATTAAGAGCGTTTTGTGAGAGAAAGGAACCAAAAGAAATATATCAAAACATGAATAATTTGCTATATATGATACTAGAGATTATCACAGTACGTGATATATACACATCCTCTCTTTGAAGAGGTGAAGAGTCGTATGAATAAGACAGATGTGTCTGTAGATCAGTCCGTATATACGACATGCTATTTACACTTTTTTTTTTCTTCTTCAGAAACGCTTATTATTATGTATGAACTGCATATAGATAATTGAACAACAAAAGCAGCAATCTCTCATTTTAATATTGTAACATTTTTGCAAAATGGGCAGAGAAATTTCATACAAAAGATATTGTATTTAAATAACATTTTATGTACAATATTGTGTCTTTTCAAAGATTGCAACTATAACTTTCTTGGGAGGAAATCTTAATTATTATTTCAAAAAATTAAATCTTTTTGAATAAGTATGTATTACAATAAGCATAAGATGTTAGAAAAGAAGCACGAGGCAATATTACATTGCGAATAATTTCATTATAAAATACAGTCGGCAATCTTGATGAGTTTATCATATTATATGCGAATAGACGTAAATATTTGTAGATCTGAGATAAAATGAATTATGTTTTGCCGATAAAGTCTTTCCCCCCATTGAATATTTGTTTAAAATTTTAATGACATGTAATTGTAATGCGATATTCTCCATGATATATTTTTCAAAGATTTTTGAAACTATTGAGGGATAGGGGGGGGGGGATTGATAGCTATAAGGAAATTAAAGAAAATGCTAGTGTTTAAGAAGATAGTTTAATTATTCATTTTATACACGTTCGCTCCTCTTTACTTCCTTTACTTGTAAACCTAAAAATATTTTGATTATATTATAACGACTGTAACTAAGCTTGAGAAAATAGCTTAAATTATTCACAAAAATTAAATGGTTTTGTAATAAATATATATAATGTTAAAAGAATGACAAAAGAAACATTGGAAGTACTATTATATCGTGAACACAATTTCAACTATAAAATATAATCGGCAATCTTTCTTTTATCGAGTTTGTTATACCTGGTGGTAACGATTGCTTCAGCTTCTCAGCCTTCTCCTTATCGGTAATGACAAGAGTGTATAAAAATCTGGAGCAGCGAACTTTAAACTTGACATTATCAGCATTTTTCTTAATTTTCACAGCTGAAAAAGAGAAACAGCAAATCAATTACACCATGCAAGAATGAAAAATATATATATATATATATATATATATATATATGAATTAATAAAGATATATTTACACTTTGCATCTTTCCTCCTGGCTTTCAGAAGAAAGTCCTTAATCTCTTTGATTTCTCGTGGCTAAAGATAAAAAGAAAAATTATTCACACAATTTTTTCATTCAGTCATTTGACTAAAGCCCATATCTATAGACTACACATTAAATATTAAAATTTAATCAATCAAGACAAGAAATGTTAGTTCCTTTGGTTCAGATTAATAAAAAATTTTGATCTTTAATCTTCAACGCATAGTCTAATAACGATCAAATAACTTGTTTTGAGGTTATCTTATCCCAGATATTAATATTTCAATCAACTATACATTAAGTATAAATTTTTATACGTGTCCAAAAAGAAAACCGCAAAACATAGTCAAGTGAAACGGCAAATACTTATTTATTTACCATATTTAGTAGTAGTTTGTAATTCTGTTAGTGTAATTCGGCAGACAAGTCTGAAACATAGAATGGAAACACTGTGAGAAACATGTGGTAAAACGCAAAACGATTCAGATGTATAAAATAGCGTAAACTTTCGAGCGAGCGCGAAATAACGTTTTAGCGAAACGATAAACGATGAGGAGCGAACGAAACAGATACGAAATACACTTTATAAGAACCACGTTATGCTCACCCTAAGACACGTTCGGCGGAAAGAAAAAGAGACGACGCTAACAATAGCGATCAGTTGGTGTCTCTGGCTGTCTCTAGCAGGTCAGTCAAATCAGCAACTGAATTCAAGCTAGAATGAACGGCAGAATTTAAATAAAAATGCAGAGAATCAATTTTGACAATAATTATGAGTAGAAATATTAAAACAGTTCGAAATTTTTTTGAAATTGAAATTATATAATTTTGACAGCAGCTGTCCAATCGGCAAGATAGGATTCACGCTGGTGACGCGAATACAGATAAAAATATATTCCAACTTAGATTCCTTATCGTAAATTCTCGCATTGTTGCTATATATTTTATAAAATTATTTTGTCTGATCCTGACAAGAGAGAGAGAGAGTTTATATTTATATTCAATTATATTTAACTCAACTGTGTGCGATCGTGGAAACATTTTGTACACATACACACAGTCATTTTTATTATTTTACAATAGTACACACAGGCATTTTATTACGTATATATATACATGTATCGAGTATCAGACGCAATCAGATGCAATTTTGTGATTTTTCCCAATCAAAACAGCTGTTTTGTGGCCAATTCCTGCATCACCAATAATTTTTCTGCCGCAATAATCATGCTGTGACAATATAGTATAAATATATCTCATTAAATAATTCTATCATTAAAAGATGCACCATTCTGGGTTGGGAGGGAAGAGATAAAGAAATGTCAAACGGACGTAAAAATACGTCACGTCGAGACGCGTCGGAATCGAATCTCACTTCCCGGAAGTGAATCAATTCGATTATTCTTCGATTGTATACGCGTGTGACATCTATATATAGCTATTTTAATCGTGTACGAGGAAAAGATTGCCGGTTCCAATATCTAATATATATTGTCTGATCCTGACAAGAGAGAGAGAGAGAGAGAGAGAGAGAGAGAGTTTATATTTATATTCAATTATTTAACTCAACTGTGTGCGATCGTGGACACATTTTGTACACATACATACAGTCATTTTTATTATTTTACAATAGTACACACAGGCATTTTATTACGTATATATATACATGTATCGAGTATCAGACGCAATCAGATGCAATTTTGTGATTTTTCCCAATCAAAACAGCTGTTTTGTGGCCAATTCCTGCATCACCAATAATTTTTCTGCCGCAATAATCATGCTGTGACAATATAGTATAAATATATCTCATTAAATAATTCTATCATTAAAAGATGCACCATTCTGGGTTGGGAGGGAAGAGATAAAGAAATGTCAAACGGACGTAAAAATACGTCACGTCGAGACGCGTCGGAATCGAATCTCACTTCCCGGAAGTGAATCAATTCGATTATTCTTCGATTGTATACGCGTGTGACATCTATATATAGCTATTTTAATCGTGTACGAGGAAAAGATTGCCGGTTCCAATATCTAATATATATACTATCGATATAGCATGCAATCACTCGCTCGTGGTTTTCTTGCGCTATTATTCACGCCTATCAACTTTAATTAGCGCCGTTAGGAAGTAAGAGTCAATGTGAGGTCGCGGATATTTCCTTTATCCTATACACAAGTTTCGCATCGGATGCGATATATCAAGAGAGGCGTGCATGTAACGCGACATATAAAACAGCTCGACGTAGCGGGTAGCGGATCTTGACGCAGATCGCGTGAGCGATTTTGGATGAGAGAGGCGTGCGCGCGCGCGTCCGCATCGACGTTGTCAAGGAAAATCCGATTAGAGATCGCTGTTCGTTTGAGACGGTAATAAACGGTAAAACGTACAGCATGGAGAGCGAACAGCAACAACAACAACACGGTAAAGAGCCGAAGCCGAAAGACAGGTTAGTCGGTCTGTTGGATCAGATCGAACTGCACGTAGAACAATTGCGGAAGGATGCCGCGAGACTCGAAGAGGAGAAGGATACTTTATTGACGACCTTGGACACGCTTAGGAACAACGATATACTAATTAGTCTCGAGGAGCGTAAGTGTTTGCTATAATTTATGTCAACTATATGTCAATTGTATTCTCGATGGAAGACTAGACTGTGGAGACGACATTCTAGAATGTGATAGAAAAACGGAGATATATTTTTTATCTACGTAGTCGCAAAGTATCAGTATGATTGAGACATTTTTTGTTTCTGTGTATAATATGTGTCAGTTAATTTCTATGTAAAAATATGTCACATTGTCGAAATTCGTTGGAATCAAATCGTTTCTTGGATTCAAATAAATTAGAATTCTATTTCTATACAAATATAATTTAAATACAATGATAACAATATAATAATAATATTGTATTAAAATGTTAATATAACAATTTTATTTTGTAAAGACATTTTAGTACATGTATGTTTAATAATTATAATATTGATTGTAAACTTATTATATATGATATCATTTTTGATTTTGAAAAGAATACATTTGAAGAAATATTAAAATAATGATATTTTTTTTCATATAGCTGATAGGGATGATGTTTTGAGGTATGCAGAAAGGTTATCTATGCGCTGTTCGACTGTAGATGTATTAGTTACAGTTCAGCGCGATCATGTACAGCAGGAGGCATTACATCAGGTATGTGAGGTATTCGACGATCATATTGTATGAAAGTACAAATTTTCAATGAGTGATTAAATGTCGTTTTATTTGGTTCAGGTTAACGGCTTGATCGATAGCTTGATTATAAACTTGCGCCACGATCCAAGTAGCACTCGACAAAGATGTGCAGAATTTATGAACGCATGTTCTTCCCATGGTATGGGTCATTCGGATAAAATCTTTGAGACTGCCATTCTCGGATGCACCTTGGATGATCAGAAACGAATCAAGAAGAGGTTGCAGGGATTACTCGACTATATTGATAAGATGCATATCTTGGAAATGACACAGTGAAAACAGCAAGGGATTATTTGGCAGATAAGTCTGCCTCATTCTTCATACAGATTTGGAATATCGGAGTTTTCCAAAGTTTTGGCGTTATCGCGATCGTAGCGATTTTAGGGAACACTTGGGAGAAATTGCGTGTTATTCTTTGCACTAAATTTTCCATTTTCTTTCGCGGGTAAGTTAGACCGCATACAATATTTGGCTATGTAGAATACATAGCAATCAACTGGATTTAGCATTATAGTGACATGATAGTGATTTCTGATAATTTCTTACACAATTTCCGAACTTACTCTTTAAGATATAGCATTTCAACATTCTTTAGAAAAAAAAGAATATCTTTGCTCGCGGAAGAAAACTTCGATCAATAGTTTTCAGACCTAATATATGTACGTTTTGAAATAAAGAGAAGTTTCTAAAAAAAAATGTGTATACAAATGCAGAATCTTAAATGTTATATGAATGTTGAAAGTTAAATAGGTGGATCTCTCTTTACGTTCTTATTTGATATAATTGTACATTTGCTATGTAAAACATCAATTATTATAAGAAATATCAGTTTCTAGAATTGTAAGGATGATTAACTCATTTTATTGTCTTCTTTTTTTTTCGCTAGATATTCAATAACTAATATTTATTTGAAAATTTTTAAATATCTTGTTCGTTTTTTCTTATCCTATGGATATTTAGAGACTTCTTAAGATTTCACGCGCGCTTTTATCAAAGATTTTGATGTGTCATGTTTTATTTTTAGCAAAATGTACAAAGATTTCATTTTGTATAATAATATAAACATAAGAGTATATAACATATACAATAGATATATTAAGTAACTTACTATAACAGTTGCCTTAAGAGATTATGGTTTATATTAACTTATTATTTAAACCATAGTACGTTTTGGAAATGTTTTCTTGTATTTCATTCAATTTTAATTTCAAATTTTTATAGAGCTGATTATTATTGATTATTATTGACGATAATAAAATACTTTTCACTAAATTTAGACACATTGAATGATAAATTTTTCAAATATTTGTGTCTGGTCAGCTTCCAAAACAATGCAAAATGAAGTATGTCGATAGTAAATTAAAATAAAATATTTTTTATTTTTCACTTCATTTAGACTCTAAATGATAAATTTTTCAAATATTAATGACATTTGTAAAGCGATAAAAAACGAAAAACTATAAAGATAATAAAATATTTTTTATTAAATTAGGACATTGAATGATAAATTTTTCAGATATTTTATTATTGTCAGACTTGGATAATTAATATCGTCGCGCTAATCTGTATATAAAAATCTCACTATTATTATATTATATTATTAT